CCCCCCCCCCCCAAAGCCGCGCTGCCCATGGTGCAGCCACACGCCTTGGGGACTGAAACACCGAGACAGGGAAGAGGGAGGGGAGGGAGCAAGCTCAAGGGTCCGTAAACAACTCCTCGATTACCTTTGCATACCGCTCGTCAATGACACGCCGCTTCAACTTCGACGCCGCTGTCAGTACATCATTTTCAGGGGTCCACTCGTCGCTGAGGACACGTACGTGACGCACAACCTCAAAAGTCCTTCGGTTGGCCTTTTGCGCAGTTTCCGCAAGGGACTCTGCCGCCTTCTTCTGAAATACAGGGTCCTGTAGAATATCTGGGTATTCGCCCTTGATACCATTTTCCTTTGCAAACACGAATGCCTTGGATTCATCCGTCAACACCAGAGCACAGATGTAAGACCTGTCAGGATGCACAAGCACACAGACTCCATTGGGCAGGCAGAGGGCGTTGTGTGCATACATAGACTCCAACGCCTCCATGGCAATGTACTCGCCCAGCACATTCTTTGCCAATGCCTTTACACGGCCAATGATGCGTAGTGTACCGTTGGGCCCTATGCTGCCAACATCTCCCGTGTGAAACCACCCATCGGCGTCAATGGCATCGCGTGTGAGCTGCTCTTGCTTGTAGTATCCCTTGAAGAGGAATGGGCCACGGAGCAAAATCTCACCACGCGGTTCCGGTGTGTCAGTGTGCTTGTACCCCTCCACGTCAAGCAGCCGCAGCTCCTCAGTCGGTTCCATTTGGCCCACTGTGCTGGTCTCCATGTCACCACGGCGCTGAATGCCACCAACGCACACCGTCTCGGTGAGGCCCCAACCCTGAAAAATAGGCCCAAAAACAACATTTACGAAGTTCTGAGTTGCTTCGCTGAGTGGGGCACCGCCAGAGAGTATAGCGCGGACATTCTTGCCAAGAATAGTACGCGCCGCGGCAAACACCTTCGCATTCCAGTAGGGCGTCTCCTTACCATCCATCAGTGCCTGCAGCCGGCTCTGAAACGCGCGGTCGAAGACTTTGCGCTTCAGAGAGCCGACGGGTGGCAATTTGGACTGTACAGCCTTCTTCAGTGTGTCAAAAATGCGCGGAACGCCAATAATAAAGACGGGATTGAACTCTGCAAAGTCACCCTGTGGACGGGCGGTGAGGCTCGTCAATGTCTGCGGGGTGCCGAAGCACACGAGCGCCCCACGTGCGACAAACATGTTCAGCACACTGAACTCCATGATGTGAGCAAGTGGAAGGTACGCGCAGTAGGTCTCTCCCTCCTCGAAAGGGCCAACATTGTCGAGGACTCGGTAGTTCAACGCCGACACCCCGGCCGAAAACGAGCCGTGGGTGTGCACAACACCTTTCGGGTTGCCCGTGGTGCCGCTGGTGTACATGATCAGCGCCTTCAGGTTGTTGTCGGTGGGGATGCGCAGCGGAATGCGGTCAGCACATGGGCGGCCCATCTCCACCACATCCGCCCACGGAATAAGACGGCAATCCTTGGGGTCAAGGGACGCGGGGAGGGTGCCGGTGTAGATGATGGGCGCCTTTTCTATAGTACCCTCCACCATGAAGCGCACCAAGCACGCCACATTCTTTGCATTACAGATAATCGCTTTGCAATCCGTCTCGCGCAGTGCGTAGGCGAGTGCATCCAAGCCGAGGTTAGCGTACACTGTGCAGGCCACCATGCTCTGTGTCCAGATGCCGTAAATGGTTGCGAGCCACTCCCACCGTGTCTCCTCGTAGATGGAAACGTTTGAATCCGGTGTCACTCCAAGCTCGACGAGACCGCGTCCGAAGGCCGTGATGTGCTCCCATAGCGTTTTGAAGGTCAGGTATTGCGTCTCCTTGAAGTACGTGACATTCATCGTCTTCTCCTTGCCGCTGTTGACGTCCTTCATGACCTCCTGGGCGACCCGGTCGATGGGACGATACGCGAGCGCGCGCCGCTCCGGCGAGCCGCTACAGATGGCCTCGAAGCGCTGCGTGAGGTTGGGGCCATCGTATAACTCGCGTGAGAGCTGCGCGTGCTGCGCGTCGTCGTAGCCGGCGATGCGGTAGATGGGGGAGGCGCCGGGCTCCTCAGTGCCGGCAACAGGCACCGCCTGCTGTCCAAGGGCGCGGAACTCCGTCACATACTCGTGCGGGACAAGCGAAGAGCGGTTCCTCCTGTCCATTAATGACACGACGCATCCTCCCATTGCTTCAATAACTGCTTGTATATCTATCAGCACAAGTAAAGGAATAAAGGACCGCCAACCTTCCCGCCTCGAGCCCGATGGTGTGTCCTCGTTGCTCTAATCTTCGCACACACTCACAGAGAGATCAAAAAAAAAAACACTCGACTTTTCGTTCGTTCTCTCTCTCTCTCCCTCCGGCTCACCTCAGACGATGATGCTAGCGGCTGCTGACTCTGTCCAGCGGCGCCGCGTGTGTGTGTGTGTGGAGGAAGGGGGGGACATTCCTGCCCCGGCAGCAGACAGCAGAGGGGGGTGGGGGCACCAAGGCATCGATGAGGAAGAGAACGAAAAGAGCTGCGCAGCCACTCGCAGCGTCTTGGTCACGCTCGCACAGAAACAAAACAAAACATTGGTGCAAGAGAGAAGAAAAGAAAACAACCAACGAAACAAAAAAAAAAAAGCAAAGGGGCAAAATAAAAAAAAACCGAATGTGAGAAGTGAGCACGCCAACACCACCCTCCCCAACCTGCAGGGAGATCTGCACGCGGCACTGCGCCAGCGTGCGTGGTGGCTGGGAAGCACGAGCACAAACGGCGGAGAGAAAGAGAGAGAGGGAGGGAGGGAGCCAACATCACGCAAGCAGTCGAAAGGAGAGAAAGGAACGGCCCCTCGTGCAGCAGCACCAATTACACACACCAACACACAGACGGGGTCTCTCTCTCACTGTCTCCTTTTTCTCGGCCATTCCGCCTTCTCATTTGGCAACTGCTTGGCCTCCCTTCGCCCACACGCGACCTCAGTCCCCCCGCGCACACACACGGAGGGAGAGGAAGAGACAAACTGTGCCGTCTGTGCGCGCGTGTGTGTGTGTGTGTGCAGCCGCACGTGTTCCGGTGGACAGCGGAGATGTACTGCGTGCCGCGGCTCACAGCTGCGGTGCAAAGCAAACAAAGAGGGGGGATGGATGAGACGGGCACGCACACACAAAGAGAGAAAGCGTGCGTGTGCAGAAAGAGAAAAAGGAATAGCGAATGGCAGCCAGTACTTAACAAGCAAACAGAACAGCATACCAAGCGATACCGCAAGTTCTTATGCGCGGCAGTGTGTGTGTCTGTGTGTGTGTGGGTGTGTATATGTATATGTATGGGTATATACG